AACAGACGGCTCGAAAGTGGAGCGAAAGTGAAACTGTTCGCGCGGGGAAGCATGGCTGAACATGCGAAAATCCTCGATGAGCTGTTGGCCATCCCTCCAACCACTCTATTCACAGAAAAGCAAGAAAATCATGGTTGAAGCTGCGATTGGCTAGGAAGTCAGGTCCCTTATGAGAAAGGATACCACAAAACCAGAGCAGAAAGTGACCTGAGAGGTGTGCTAACTAATATCTCACTTTCCTGGAAGAATCCCACAATGGATCCGGACCGCTCGTGTTTCAGCAGGGTGCAGCACTAGTTGATAGATCGAAGGTGACATCGCAGCACGCGAGAACACCAGCCCTGGTCTCACCAGCGCTCAATACCGGCCAATCAAAGTACTTACTTGAACAGAGTGGAATATTTCGTGTTGAGCTTTTTAGAGAACGAGGCCTGCTCATAACAACTCCACCCAGCCGCAGCCCAGATAACGAGCTTCTTCTAAGTTAGAAGAAATTTATTTGAAGCACATACGCGCCACGGTGGACGACCTCTCCTCTAAAGTAAAATCTATGGCTCGGTCATATTAATTCATTCATTTCACATTTTATTCGTAAAGTTCTACTGGAAATGAGCCCTCAATTTGTTGTTTTACAGTCCTTACAAGGGCGGAAACTTGAGCAAGTAATTTGGCGAACCGTGTATAGAAACAGCCATGATGGTGAGAAGTGGTGGTCGGGGGCAGGGTCGACCTTCTGTTCGAACTATTCGAACGAGAGGGTAGCATCTTGCCCATAGAGTGGGTAGGGGGTCGCAAACCCCTACTCACTCTAGGCTCATGGCGGAAATTGTGGCGGTAGCGTACCTGGTAGGTGTGGGAGAGAAATGCGCAGGGAGAGAACATGACTTTGTAAAAAAAATGAAATAAAAGTGTTCACTTTGCGTTTATCTGCTTCGTTCATCTCCTAAAGATCGATTGGGTGAAGCAAAGGCTTGCCAGAGGCTACAAAGAGTTTAAACATTATTTGAATTTTATGCGGTCTAAATGAATCTAGAACACATCTGTAGGCTTGGGCTTGCACGATTTCACGGCAAGGATGGGAATGGCTGCCTTAGCAAGAAGAACTAGACTTAATACCCCTTCGCAACGTTGAGCCACAGATGCGTGCTTGGCGCTACCCAAAGCTGGATTCTTGGAGGGAACCCCTTTGAACCGATTCGTTAAAAGCGAAAAGATTGTTCTCGGCGGATTTTGGTGTGTTCGGATTGAATACAAGAGCAAGGAAGTGCAACGATATGAAAGAATTGGCTCCTCGATCGAGGTTGAACAAAGACGTTTAGGGAAAGTCAAGTTTTTGATAAAAGTTCCTCATCATTATTTTGGTGTGCGACTGAATAAACCTTTTAATTCCGAAAAAAAAACCACTAAAAGAAGCTTTTCTAAGAAAGGTATGATTGACGAAATCTCAAGAACTCGCAGATCTGCTCAAAAACCTAGGAGAAGAGAAAAAGTGCGAACGTATGATTGCTTAGAAAAGCGAACTTTAACAATCGATCAAGCTCTTGTTAGAAAGCTCGCATCCTATGCTTTCTAGTGGTATCAAATGTTTGTCATAGAAACGAAAATTAAGAAAGTACGGTCA